TTTTGTGTGAAATTAGATTTTTAATTCTCATTGATCATATCCACATTCTCATGTAGATACCTTTTACCTTTGGGCTCTTCCCAGTGTTACCAAACACTTGTATTTTTATTCTTCCCTCAATATTTCTTGTTTCTATTCAGTTTTTTGTGTCTTTTTTCCATCATGAAGAATGTTTAAACTATAAATGAATATTTTTTTGTTGTAGTGTTTATAAAATATGTACTTTGGATCTTTTCTTGTATATTGTGTGTAGATTGTATAAGAATGTTGTACAGGTTTGTACAGCACTGTGCAAAGTTTGGGAACTGGTCTACTTTGTCAGGGATGTCAGAATTTGAAATCCTCAGAACTTTTCTGAGTATTTTTTTTCTTTCTGTATTATTTCTACAGTATCAGAACAATCTACTTGTCTTCTTCATTCAAGGGTACACTGAAGAGCTGAATACTGAAGTACTTCTAAGTATGTGTCCAGAAACAGAAACATGACGAATCATCTTTTGTACTGCAACTGATGATCAGGTCAGGGAGAGCCCTGAGGGCAGCGTCGTGCACTGTTTCTTGGACTGCATGAAGAGACTGACCGTGCTAAATCTGCAGAGGAACTTTATTAAAAGTATCAATTAGTAATACACTGCATTTGCACCACCAGTTACTACACGTGTCATCATTTTAAATCCACCAGACTTCCACTTTCCTTTGGTAAAAACACGCAGTTTTGCTCGCGTCCTGATCTCACAGGAGATGATTCGAATGTTCAGCATTCTTGACATACTCATATGGGCAGAAGCTGAGCAAATGAATTATGAAAAACAACAGGAACAGATATCTGAACCAGAACCAGTTGTCTTCTATTTGCTGCTGTCTGTCTGCTGTCAAACTACAGAACTACATCCAAATACACGGAGGTTGTGTTAATATCTGAAAATGTTGGAAAATTCTATGTGTATTGGCAGAATATTGTTTTTAATCTAATGCCTTGAACCCATCCTGTCTGTGCGTGTATCTCCACAGTATGTCCCAGCGGAAAGTTTGGTAAAGCCTGTGCTGAGACCTGCTTGTGCACTAATAACGGCACTTGTAACCCCATCGATGGCTCCTGTCAGTGTTACCCTGGATGGACCAGCGAAGACTGTTCTAAGCGTAAGAGGAAACGTTTATAGCCATTTATTAACTTCAGTTTTACAAAAGAACAAATAAAATGCATGTTGTTATTCACCCCACGTGTTTTAGCTGAAGAAAAAAACTTCCTGAAGGCAGTCACTGGAGTGGCTTTGACATTAATTATCTTTCTTACATTGAACATCTACCACAGTCACTCAGTTATCTGTAAGTTTAATGAGGGCACGCAGCATCCTAATGTATGTCTGGTCTTCACTATGGCAACATTTGACCTATTATTATGTATTTATATATTACTAGACGTATACGTGTCTAGATGAATTGAATAAAAGAGAAAAAAGAGGAGAGAATAAAGTGCCCATGTGCAGAAGTGAAGCCCAGTAAGGACACTTTGACTTGCCCAGTTTGCTGTGATGGGGCATTACAGTGTTGCTGTACAAGAGTGTGCTGACTTTTATTGCATACTCTGTCTTTGTGCACTTATTTTTGTGTGCTTCTGGCAGCATGTCCTTGGGGCTCATGGGGCCTTGACTGCATCCACACATGTAACTGTCTCAATGGAGCTCAGTGCAGCGCTACAGATGGGGAGTGTATCTGCAGCCCTGGATGGACAGGACTCTACTGTACTCAGCGTATGTCTCTGTCACACACACGGGCAGTTCATATACACATACAGACCAAGCAAAACACTGGCTGCTGTGAGAGCTCATCACTAATGCACACTCACTATGTGCAATGTGTTAGTACCTCAAACCTTTAACTCCATCTAGTGACCGGTGAAAAAACTGCATACCCTTGAAATCCCTTCTTCTTATCTCCTCAATTCCTTTGTGGTTTCTAGTTTCAACACTGAAAAAGATTGAATTTCTCCATTTGCACTGCAAATTGCTGTCCAATTTGAAGTATTTGGCTGAAGCTGATAGCCTTGTTCACTTGATAATTCATCCTGCTATTTCTATGAGCAGTCACATCATCAGTGAACCCCCAAAAGTTGATTCTGTTCAGTCTCAGCTGACTGCAGGTTTCCCCAGTCTTTGCATAATGACTGAAACTAGCACCAC